CTGATCATTTTAGCAGAAACATCCAGCAAATGACTTCCCACATTCTCCTGGTGCCCCAAGCCCTAACTGTCCCTATCATCCCCTGATGCTAAAACCTCCAGCTTCCCCATGCCTGGCAACTGCTGAGGTGTGATATGGGTTATCAATACAAAAATCCACGGCACACTGAAAACTAAAATGTGAGGTGAGTATAAAACAAATTGAAATCAATAGCAAGATAACCAGTCCGGAGGCTGCTGCATGGATTGGGTCACTATCTGTTTACATGGTTAATTTGTTACAAACCTCACTATTATCTTAAGCTACCACCGAATGTCACCAGAGTCCAGGAACCTTGCTGCAGAGAACACAGGGTCTGGACTTTCAGGCCAGACTCACCAGGTTTGTGTACCCTCCCCTGGAGACAGAGTGCACCCTGGTGCAGCTGTAGTTCAGACCCTCTGGAAATGGATATCATCTTCGGGGCACTCTCTTCCCCCTGTGGAGCCAGTTCTGGCATACGCCTGTGCACCTGCTCCATGTCCCTTTCTGGAGATCTGATGAAACCCACGTGCAGCACAGCACCCGTAAATCAATCCAACTTCAGTGCAAGCACAGCAAATGTTTAACCCTCTGCCCTCACAGAGCATGCCGATGGGGGTCCCAAGAACACACTGAGCTGTTCACCATTCATGTGCATGGTTGTCCTGTATGAAACCCCTTTTCTTTTGCTCCTCCTGCAGGTGTTGTCTGCTGCACTGGGGGCTCAGGGACGAGAGGAGCGCTCTCCACGCAGATGCGTCCGCCTGCTGGAATCCTGCCTTGGGCACCAGCTCCCCTGCTGTGATCCTTGTGCCACCTGCTACTGCCGCTTCTTCAATGCCTTTTGCTATTGCAGGAAAATCAATGCCACGTTCCCATGTGGCAAGAACTAGCTTTGGCTTGTTCCCCGCCAACCCCTTTTTTCGCTCTTCGGATTAGTAACTGTTTTTCCTTACGCCCATGTGCCCTATGCAGTTCCAATAAACGATCTACTAGTAAATAGTGTCACCAAGTTCAGTCGGTCCGCCCCTGGCTTTTTCTTTGCCTCTCTCAGGGATATTCTCCTTTAGCAGGAAACAGCAAATAGCTTCAAGTTACAGAGAATCCACCATTTACACTAGTTTAAACCTGCAAATGACCTGTGCCCCACATTGCAGAGGAAGGAGAAAACCCCCCAGGATCCCTGCCAATCTGACTTGGGGGAAAATTCCTTCCCAACCCCAAATATGGCGACCAGTTAGACCCTGAGCATGTGGGCAAGCCCCAACAGCCAGACACCTGGGAAAGCACTCTCTGTAGTAACTCAGAGCCCTCCCCATCTAGTGTCCTATCATCAGCCATCAGAGATATTTGCTGCTAGCAGTTGCAGATCGGCTACATGCCCTTGCAGGCAATCTCGTCATACCATCCCCTCCGTAAACTTATCAAGCTCAGTCTTGAAACAAGTTAGTTTTTTTGTCCCCACTGCTCCCCTTGGGAGGTTGTTTCAGAACTTCACTCCTCTGATGGTTAGAAACCTTCGTCTAATTTAAAGCCTAAACTTGTTGATGGTCAGTTTATCTCCATTTGTTCTTGTGTCAACATTAGTGCTTAACTCAAATAACTCCTCTCTCTCCCTGGTATTTATCCCTCTGATGTTTTTATATAGAGCAATCATATCCCCCCTCAGCCTTCGTTTGGTTAGGCTAAACAAGCCAAGCTCTTTGAGTCTCCTCTCATAACTTACGTTTTCCATTCCTCGGATCATCCTAGCGGCCTTTCTCTGCCCCCAGGAGCGCTGCCAGCTTTTCCGCCGCCCTAGGCGGCGGAAGGTCCCACCCCCAAATGCCGCCCCCCCACAGAGGCAGCAGAAGGTCTCGCCACTGAAATACCGCCGCGGTTGCCGCCCCCCAAATCGCAGTGCCCTAGGCGACCGCCTAGGTCGCCTAATGGGTTGCGCCGGCCCTGTCTGCACCTGTTCCAGTTTGAATTTACCTTTGTTAAACATGAGAGACCAGAATTACAAGCAGTATTCCAGAGGTTTCACCAGTCCTTGTATAATGGTACTAACACTTCCCTGTCTCTAGTGGAAATACCTCCCCTGATGCATCCTAGGAATGCATTAGCCTTTTCCATGGCCACATGGTGGCTCATAGTTATCACATTGGCGGCTCATAGTCATCCTGTGATCAGCCAATACACCCAGATCTTTCTTCTCCTCTGTCACTTCCAACTGATAAGTCCCAAGCTTATAGCAAATTTTTTTGCTTCATCAAATGCCTTACTGAAATCCAGGTAGATTAGATCTACTGCATTTCCTTTGTCTAAAAAAATCAGCTATCTTCTCAGAGAAGGAGATCAGGCTGGTCTGGCACGCTCTACCTTTGGTAAACCCATGTTAAATTTGATCCCAATTACTGTTCACCTAGATGTCCTTACCTACTTTCTCTTAATTTGTTCCAAGTCCTTACACACAATTGGAGTCAACCTAACAGGCCTGTATTTTCCCAGATCGCTTTTCCCCTTTGTTAAAACCAGGAACAATATTAGCTCCTTGAGACTTAACCCAGGAGCCATATTAGGAATCTACCAACAGGGCTCATTATACAAAGTGAGGATACTGATGTAAGCACCTTTAGATTGGTGTGACGGTGTCCACAGTAGGGGCAGGGCCGGCTTTAGGCCGATTCAGCCGATTCGGCTGAATCAGGCCCCGTGCCTAAGAGGGCCCTGCAGCTGTCCACCCTGCCCCCGCCCCCAGCTCACTTCCCCATCCTCCCCTCCCCTGAACGCTCCGCCCCCTGCTCCTCCCCCTCCTCTGCTTCCCGCGAATCAGATGTTCACGGGAAGTCTGAAAAGAAGCAGGGGCAGGCGGGAAGCAGCAGGTAAGCTGGGGCGGGGGGGGGGGGGGCGCGGGGGGGCGGCGGGGAGGCGGGCGGCGCGCGGCCCAGCCCCCCCGGCCCGCCCTGGGCCCTGGCCGAGCGGCTCTGGCTCCGGCCCGGCCCGGACCCCGGTTCCGCCCAAGCACCCCCGGCCCGGCCCCGCGGCTCTGGCCCCGGCTGAGCACCCCCTGCCTGAGCGGCTCCGGCTCTGGCCCCGGCGGCTCTGGCTCGGGCCCCCGGGCGCCGTCCCTGGCCCCGGCCGAGCGACTCCGGCCCGGCCCCGGACGAGTGGTGCCGGCCGAGCACCCCCGGCCCCAGCGGCCCTGGCCCGGACCCAAACCCTGTGACCCTGGCCGGAGCGTGGCCCGATTCCTGGGGGCGGGGCTTGCCGGCAAGCCCCACCCCCAGGAATCGGGCCCCGCTCTTGCTAAGGCCGGCCCTGAGTAGGGGATGGTACCAATTTAACTACATCGGTTTCTAAACCGTTAAAGTGGTACAAATGCTGTGAGAGATCCCCTCTCCCTCAACTGCTGTTGCACCCAAGGCTAATTAGGCCAGGAAGAAAGAACTGGTTAGCATGTATATAATATAAGCCAATGCTGCCAAGGACAAATACTAATGTGCCTAATGTATTCATGCAAGGACTAATCTAAAATGACAAGTGAAAATGAACTTAGTGTTTTTCTCACCCTACTTCCTATTTGTGTACGTCACAAAAAAGTCACAATTGACTTAAGAGAGGCCCAGACCGGGCACAGAAGGTGCAGAGCATACTCGTAGGGGCACAGACAGGGCTACAGCATGGGAGGGAAGTCTGTTTATTATTATAGCTGGTTGGAGACACTTGAGGAGAACCATTTTCCATTGGAGAATACAGCTCTGTTGAAACTGAAACGCTTTGTGAAACTGTGTCAATCTCATCAAAATTTTGGAGAAAAAACAGGATTGGGGGGGGGAATTCTAACAATGCTGAAACATCCTCTTTGGACATTTTTGGAACCAAATATTTTCATTTTTTGTTTGAAACAATGAAGCCATGTTTTGAAATCTTGAAATGGTTTGTTAAATGGAATTTCCACCTTCTGCACAGCTCTTGTTAATTATCAAGTATCAGGAGGTAGCCGTGTTAGTCTGTATCTACAAAAACAACAAGGAGTCTGGTGGCACCTTAAAGACTAACAGATTTATTTGGGCATAAGCTTTCGTGAGTAAAAACCTCACTTCTTCGGATGCATCCGAAGAAGTGAGGTTTTTACTCACGAAAGCTTATGCCCAAATAAATCTGTTAGTCTTTAAGGTGCCACCAGACTCCTTGTTGTTTTTGTTAATTATCAGTGTCCCAGTAGGACTTGGAGGCTCCCTCCAGGGTGGGAGGGCTATTGTAGTAGCTGCTGTACATGCTAATACATGGTCCCTGCCTCAAAGCGCTTACAGGCGTGATGGACGACGGACCAACCGATGCGACACACGCAAAGTGATCAGGGCAATGGGGGGAATGTCATGTTAGTTCCACAGGGCAGGCTGGCTTTCCTTGTGCTTGTTTAATACCCACATAGGGATACACAGAGGGACATTCACATACTGTACAGGCGTGAGCCTGCACAGCACAGCACAGCACACACCTCTATTTATACCAGTGGGAGCGACACCGCCCCATCAACAACACCCCCCCACTGCCTCCTCCCCTGCCCCTACCCCCACCCCCTGCCATCAACCCTCCCCTTGCCAACAGCCCCGTCCTCCACCCTGCGACTACCCGCATCCTGCCAACAACCCCCACCCCCTGCCAACAACCCCGCCCCCTAGCCTGCCACTACCCCACCCCCTGCCAACAACCCCCCATTGCCTTCTCCCCTGCCACTACCCCACCCCCTGCCAACAGCCCCGCCCCCAGCCTGCCACTACCCTCACCCTGTCATCAACCCCTCCCCTTGCCAACAGCCAACAACCCCCGCCACTACCCCCGCCCCCTGCCAACGCTGGCTCCACCCCCCGGCCGAGCCCCCGCGGCCTCCTCGGCCAATGACTGTCCCCACTTCAGTGCCGGGCTCGCTGGGGGCGGCTCCGCGCGGCGCATGCCGGGATCTCCCTCCCCCGCCCGTCCCTGTCACGTGAGCGCAGCGCGTGTCACGTGATTCGCAGCCGCCGGGTCCCCCCCAGTCGCCGGGAGCGAGCCGGGTCCGGGTCCGCGGCCGCCGCCATGTCGTGCTTCCCCGAGCTCTACTTCAACGTGGACAGCGGCTACCTGGAGGGGCTGGTGCGGGGCTTCAAGGCCGGCGTGCTGAGCCAGGGCGACTACGTGAACCTGGTGCAGTGCGAGAGCCTGGAGGGTGAGTCCCGGGCCCGGCCCGAGCCGCTCCCCGGCCCCCTCGGCGCGCTCCGGCCCGTTCCCGGCCTCGGCTCGGCCCCCCAGGGAAGGCCCCGGCGGCGGCCCGTGTGACAGAGCTGACAGCCCCGGGCTGTTACATAAGCCAGCCGCCCCCCCTCCCCCCCGGCTCTGCGGGCTCGGGCCCCCCAGCTCCCGCGGAGACTCGGGCTCCGAGATGGGGGCGGGTCACGGCCTGGGGATCGTGCCTGAAAGGACCAGGGCTCCTGGCCTTCACCCGCCAGCAGTGACTGGGGCAGGGAAGGTGGCGAAAGCCTTGCTCGTCACCCCTCTCCTCACCCAAGAGCAAGGGGGCATTCCCAGAAACCGAAAGGAGCAAATTTATAACTCACCAGCGGAAATACTTGTGTGTGCAGTTAACTGGAACGGGAATTCACTGCTGTTAGATATCAGACCAAAAGCTTAACTAGAGCTTAACAGCCCAGGGTATCTGGATGGCTAATACAACTCTGAAGTTTGGGGATTGATGTGAATCTGCATAGTTCAGGGCGTGAGCCAACCTCTAGGGGCTTGTCTGCATGGGGAGGTTATTCTGTAATCGGGTCGTGTGAATTCAAAGCACTATCGCTATTCCAGAACTAGTGCACGGTAGTTTATTGCAGTCAGTTTCTTAAGTAGACAAGCCCTAACTGATAGAAATGAAGAAGAACCTTCCTGTGAGTTATCCCACCTCTGCCTTTGGCTGGATGTTTGCACCTTCCTCTGAAGCAGTTAGTTTGGTCGCTCTTGGAGGCAGACTAATGGAGTAGATGGACCACTGGTTGGATCCAGTCTGGCAATTCCAGTGTTCATGTGAAGCCCTAAAAGCTGGAAAGGCATTCTCTGAGTTGCTAGTGTGTACAGTTCCTTCTCATATTGACTTCTTTCTTACTGTCTTGGGTGCTCTTTAGGCCTGGTCTCTCAAATATCTGTCTTCCACCATTTCACATGCCTCCATCCTGTTGCCCACTCCTAATCAGTGGGCGTTCTTCTCTATGTGCCTGTTTTGAATAAGGTTAATATTAGAACTATTTAATGTAACCTTAGTTGTGATTTGCTTAGGTTTTAATGTGTTTTTAATTATGCATAATGATATATCTTCTTCTGAATTGCATTTAGCAACCTGAACGACCAGTAATGAGGGCTCTTGTATGTGAATTTACTAGCTTTTAAAAAGGAATCCTGAAAGTTAAAATCAGGCAAGTGTATGTTAAAAATGCTCTGAGTATGTGGAGTTTTATACAGTACTAAGCATCTCATTTAACACACAAGCTGTTTGCTGTATACAAGCTTTCTGTGGCGGAGGAGTCTGTCCTGAAGAGTTTCTGGTACCTTTTCCTGCAGAGAAGTGTGTGGAGGTTTTTCAGGTGACTTGGTGAAAGGGTTCTCGGAAGTGAAGGGTGTGAGGATTTACATGCTAAAAGGTTCTGGAATTACCTGAGACACAGTGTGTGTTAATTTTTAATCCCCCTGCAGTGGGGCGGTTGCCCCACGCCAGGAAGAGGAAAGGTTAAAGGAGGCCAGAGGGAGCCTGTGCAGAACCCTCCCATTAGAGGAGGGTTCACTAAGCGAGCCCATCGGGAGATGCTTTGTTGCAGTGGCCAATCGGCCAGCAGGGGCCATATATATAAAGGGCTGCTCAACAGAGCAGGGGGAGTCTCTCCCTGCCGTGCTGGGCAGCGTAGCAGAGCTGAAGGAGCTTCTGGCTGACTGCTGCCAGACTGAGGCCCTCGAGGAAGGGCAGATAAGGTGCTAGGGCTGTCCCTACTTGCCGTGAAGGAAGTGGCAACACGGACTGCAGTTTGTCCCTGGAGCAAGGGACTAGACTGGTGACGGCAGCAGGCCACTGAGGCAAATGGCTAACTATAGACTGCTGGGTCCTCTGAAAGGGGGGAGGCAGCGGGGCACAGTCAGAGGGCAGTATCCAGAAGAGGACGCCGTGGTCTGGGGAGTGACGTGGGTCCCAGAGTGGTGGAGACAGCAAAGCGAGAGTAGACACCGAGTAGGCGAGCAAAACACCACCGGAGGAGAGCGCCTTGCAGAAGGACTTGAGCTAATTCCAGAACAGCCAGCAGGCAGTGTCGTGGTAGGGAGTCTGGCTCCGCTACACCCCTTTCTACACAGTCCCTTTCCTTTGTGAAGCTGGAAAGCATCTGGTCAGCTTCACTCTGCTTAGGGTGAAGCTGGGGAGGCTGACTCAGAAATGAAGAACGAGTGGGAGAGAGACACCTTTTGCAGCAGCCAGGAGTGTTTGGAGTGAGTGGGAAAAGGTGGGGAGAGAATGCATCTCCCTGTATCAACCAGGTTGTTTAGGCAGTGAGTGGGGGGAAGTGTGCTGCAAAATTCAGACTCCAAGCGGCTGGAAGCTGATACAATATACAGATTCTTTGAACAGGGTCTAGGAGCAGCACTCTGAAAAGAATCCCAGCAGCTTGGGAGGGTTGGCATCTTGCCTGGTTGATACCCTCTCTGGGGTCTGTGTGTGGGGTGGGAGGTTGGTATCTCTTGTATTGCTCTTGGCTAGCAGACCTAGTTGAACTCTTACATCATGGGGGCTTTAAAACGAGATTAGGTATCTTTCTAAAAGACCTGCCTTATTCCAGCTTCTGGGGGAAATTCTACAGCCTGTGTATCCAGGAAGTCAGATTAGATGATCCTAGTGGTTTCTTCTGGCCTTGGTGTCTGAAGTTGGGAAGGAAAAGCAGAAGAGAAAAGCTAGGATGGTGCAATAAGTGGGACTTTTTGAGTAGTATTTGTCAAATGCATTATCTGGTAGACTTCCCCAGTGTCTGTTTGGTAATTCACATGATAAATGCTGCATTCAACAGCTAGCTCTGGGAGATAGTTTTCTGATGGATTTATTGTGCAACAAATGTGGGAGAAACTTGTCAAATGTACGCAATGAATGTTTGTCTGGCCAGCCCATTAGTGAGATACTAAACTGTATCCAGATACATTATTGCACATTGCAGAGGACATGTCCTTGGGCAGGGTGTGGCAGCACAGGTATTTTTACTCTGGCTAGTAGACTAGGTCCTCGGGCTAATAAGGGTCAGGTCAGTTTTTTTTCAAGACCTGTTCATAACAGCATGATGCATCTCTTTGGCATGTTTTCTTTCTTCCTCTAGGGGGTTCTCTGTGGCACCCATCACTGTACTGCCTCCAATGGGAGTATTTCTAGAGGGGTCCCACGGGGATCTGTATCTGGCCCAGTTCAATTCTGTATCCAATGATCTGCAAACTTTACTGCCAATGACCTTGTTTTCTTCCCAGGTGACATAAAATTGGAGGAGTGGTAAATAATGAGAAGCCAGTTTAGTTTCATAGAGTTGAAGGCAGAAGAGACCATCAGATTATCCATTTTGACCTGCACCCCCCACAACATCAACCTCACCCAGTGCCCCTGTGTTGAGCCCAATAACTTGGGTAGATGAAGGGATCTGAGTCGTCAGGAGGCTAAGTTCTTGTCATAGGCAGAGGGCAGGAGAGACCGAGATACCACCAAAGCCCGAGGCCTCTACAGTGGCAGGGAACTGATAAGGTGGGAGATGCCCACGCAGTTCATGCTCCATGCTGCAGAAGAAGATGGGTGTGGGGGATGCACGGGCCTCACCAATCTGATTTGGAAGAAAATTTCTTCCCACCTCCAACTCTGGTGTTCAGGTTGACTCTGAGCAAGACTCACCAGACAGACATCTTTTCTTTCCACCTTAGAGCACCAGCCCACCCTGTCCAGCATCCCATCTCCAGCTGTGGCCAGCCCTGATGCTTCAGAGGAAGGCAGGAAAAAACCCAGAACACATCTGACCAATTGTGGTTTAGGGGAGGGAAATTCCTTCTCAACCCCTGCAGGAAACTAGCTGAAGCCCTGAAACCTGATACTGGATTACAGTCAGTGTCATAAAACAGAGCAGCAAGTGTTCAGGGCATTGCAGAACTTCTGTTCTCTCTGTGGCCTATGAAGGGAGAGGACGAATAGGGGGATTAATACAGATTCAGACTCCAAGGTCATAAGAGACCACCGTGGTCATCCAGTTCAAGGCCCCGCACACGCAGATGGTAGGATTTCTTCCAGAAACTGGATTAAAGCTTGTCTTTTAGAAAGATATCTAATCTCAGACTCCAGCTGATGGAGAGTCCACCACCTCCCTGGTAAACTGTTCCATGTTTAATTACCCTCACCACTAGGAAATTGCATCTTATTTCAAAGCTGAAACATCCCCCACTCTCCAGGGATCCCCCACTCTTTTTCCATGTGTCTGAGCCTGTACACAGTGATCAAATCTCCTCTCAGCCTTCCCTTTGATAAACTGAATAGATAGGGCCCTTCATTTTCAGTTTTGATTTTATTTATTTTTTCTTGGGATTTTATCAGTGATTTTACCACAACAACAAAAACAGGTGAAAATCAGTGAAAAAAACTATTAATTTTTCTGGGTAAATATCAGTTTTTGTGTGTGTGTGTGTGTGTGTGTGTGTGTGTGTGGACGGAAAGATGGGGTGAAAAGTATTCAGTAGATTAATGCTTTGAATTCCGTTCATCAGTGTGGTTTGCTGCAGAACTAAAACAGAATTCAGAACACAGTGCTGCCACTTCTGAGTTTAAGAAAACAATATCTCTAATCCCTAAATAAAACTTTTCGTTTGAGTAAACAGTTTACTGGTGTAGACTTAGAACTGTTATTCAATGTAAATATTTCTAGGCTAATTGGGCCACACCATTTGCAGCGCATACACTCAACTTCATCCTTTTCTCCTGTTTTTTTTTTTAATTTATTAATTTTCAAATGCTTCCTTGTGTTCTGAAACATATTCTGACACAGATTTTTGTTTTCTTCCCATTTTAGTGGGTCAAATCTTTAAACCATTATCTGCTAACAGCTTGAAATGTGTACGTGGTGGGTGTGAGATTCATCAGTACGTTCAGATGCGCACGCACTTCAGAGCTTGCCTGTTGGTTTATTG